TCCATCCAGAAGTTGTAATATCGTTCCGCGACAGTACGCAATTGAAGTCACCCGCTAAGATAACTTTACTTGGGGTGTCTAAAGTTAAACGTAAGCTTTTGAAAAACGTTAAACGATCAGAAGAGTTGTTTGGTGCGTAGATGGAAACTATTCTGACTAAATCTTCGCCAACCAAAACGTCTATGGCAGCTGTGCGACCATCTGCTGCTAGCTCACAGTCAACCAAACTGCAGTGACGTGAGGCTTTTCGCAGAAAGATAGCGGTCCCAGCACTTAGGCCAGAAGATGGAGCGTGATAACAATAATATGTATCCTGGAAGTAGGTGACAAGATCAATTTCTTGCTTTCTAGTTGAGATTTTGGTTTCCTGTAGACATATTATATCAATTTTGTGTTGATAAAAAATCTCTTTCAGCCATATCTTACGGCGTTGACTTATAAGGCTGGCTACGTTAAAAGTCCCGATTGTAAAAGCACCATAAGAATCGTCGTTCATTGAACGTATTAGGTGATGGAGCAAAGTGAAGCGTCTCTTACTGACCCCTCGGGTCCTCGTGGCCGGACAGGATGGAATCCTGCTCGGTGATGGGAGATTTGGGAGATAGAGATTTTGGTCTCCTCTTCCTTCGCCTCTTTGACTCTGCCCGCTCCCATTGAGATGTTGAGCCAGGATCTACGGTGCACAGAATCTCGTCTCCCTTTCTTTTCCCGAGCATTTCTTTGTCGCTGGTTTCGTCCATTTCGGATGCCTCTTCCTCTGGTTCCATTGACTCTTCAGCTTGGTCTTCAGGAACAAGAGCACTGAACGAGTTGGTGATGACAATATTGCTCGCTGTCTCCTTCGTTGCAGAGCATGACGACGCCGACCTGTCTACGCACTTCTCAGTCCGTGAATCTGTCTCGACGTAAGCTGTCCTGTGAGCGGTGCTGACTTCTGCCGAAACCTCTGTTTGTGCTGTTTCTTCTGCGTCCATCAAGTAGTCTGCAGGAATCTGGAGAGATGCAGTCGTTCGGTTGGCGTACGTTGGGACACAGTCTTCCAGATCATGGCCGAATTTTCGACATGCGCTACACCAGGGAGCGCGGCACTGGCCTCGGACGTGTCCGACTTGCCTGCATCGCAGACATTGCGGTGCTCTGCCAGGCACGGAGACAAGGACGGTTGTTCCCAAAATCCTGAGCTGATGCGGCAAGCTGTCCGCAGTCACACCTTCGTTCAATTCAATTGATAGTATTCTTGTGGTTGTCTCCACATCCTCGAAGCCGGAGTAGTGCCACTTGTCTCGAACGATGCTTTTTATTTTTCCAAACGTAGAGAAAGCGCTGGTTACGTTTGCATCTGGGACGGTAGTTGGAACCCAGTGCACCTTCATGGACAGCGCAGCCTTGGTCCCGTCTATTATCAAACATGTCTTGTTCTTTACATGGATCTCTCGGAGCTGCAGCAGTCTTTCTTTTTCCTTGGCAGAACGCACTGTGAGTAGCCACACATGATTGTATTGGAAGGCCCCAAGCGAAGCTAGCTCATTTGAGTTGATGATTTTCTTCAAAGCAGGACCAAAATCATCGATGCGGTATGGCCGGGCTGGTGGGTCCCCATGAAGAATCAGTGAATTTTCAAGCAGCTTACCGTTGGGAAGCAGTGGCAGTAAAATCTTGTATTCCATTGTACTTGGTGCAGAGGGGGCAGAAGCAGAAATAGTTTCAGAATATTCCCGGCTAGGCTCAGCCGTTGAGATTTCTTTTACGGAGCCCATTTCCAACGCGGCCATTCAGCTCGTCGTCTCCTTCGAACTCCTCGGCCACCGATCCCCCCTGCAAGTGCAAGATAAAAACGCAAGGCACTGTGAAAGCAAAAATAGAAGCCCATGACTGCAAGGTGATGGCGGACATTTAAGATGGAGGAAAAAAGGCGGCGAAAAGTTCTGGATATATTTAGGATCTTTGGCTGGCAAAGACAGTACTCCAGAACTGCTAGATTACGATAGTGGGTATCCAGATCTGAATTTCGGAGAACTGCTTGAGAAACAGCTCTGCATTCTGCTCGGAGTTGCAGATGTAGAAATTTCCTTAGAAAACTGGAAAACTCAGAGCCGGACCATAAAGGACGTTCCATCGTCACACCTAATGATGAATTTCTAATACTAGTGGGGCGAGTGCATGTAGATCGTTCACTCGCGCGGTTGAACGGCAGCACTTCTCAGGGCTTAGATAGAATCCCGGCTAAGGTGCTGAAGAATTTGAGACCCGATTCCCCTGCCCAAATGGCACGCCTGTTAAGCCGCAAAGTTTGCGGCAATGAACCCATCCCAGGGGACCGAAAGCGTGGCCGAGTCACATCATTCCTAAGAAAGGCGGCAACAAACAACATCTGCGTGACTAATGCCCACTCACTGTCACAGCTATAGCCTACAGGGTGCTTGCAACAGTCCTTAATTGGCGCATCTCATATTGGGCCGAGGGTGCTAGTGTTCTTACCGAACTACAAAATGGTTTCCGCCGAGATCGCCGACTGGATGACAACTTGTTCACCCTGACATTGAAATCGCTCGGTTGGAAAAGCGGAACATTATCTGTTGCTTTTGGGCCGTTGCTAAAGCTTACGACAGTGCTCCCTATTTTTTGCTGACCACGCGGCTCCAGCAGCTGAACAAGGCGAAACCTTGGGTGGAGCTAAGAAAGCGGCTATATGATGGAAATTACGTTATGGCAACGTTCAACGGAGCTTTTTCTGGTGACGTTCCTGTGTGCAGGGGACTACGTCAGGGCTGTCCGTTATCCCCAGTTCTGTACATGCTATATACATCCGGCATGGAGAAGGTGCTGGAACAAACAGGCATTGGTTTTACTCTGCGACACATGCAACACGGAGACATGGTCGAATAGCAGCTCCCCGGGCTCGCTTTCGCAGATGATCTAGTACTAAAGGCCCACAACGTCTCAGACATGAAGGAACTGCTCATCTCCTGCGAAGCGGAAGCGACTCGGCTTCAACTGGAGTTCAATGCTTTTCTGTGCGGTGGTGCTTTTTTCTGGGCAGAGGACGGAGCCTTGAAACCCTCACCATCCAGAACACTGCGCTCTCTGTTAGTAGCCGTTACAGGTACCTTGGAGTGACCCTCACCAGTGCAGAAGATTACCTGGCAGAGCACCATGAAAATCTTAAGGCGTAAGCGCCGAGGAAGCGAAATGTGCTACGTCGAAAGAGCCTTTGGTGCTGCGGTCGGTACGCAATAACCCGCGAACTTTGGAAAGCCGTTGCTGTACCAGGCTTGACTTTCGCCAAGCCGTTACATGCGTACCCCCAGCGAGATGCAAGAATACCTTGAGCGGCGCCAAAGGGAAATCGGTCGTCAGGCACTAGGATGCCATGGAAGAGTCGCAAACGAGCTGGTTCAAGGAGACCTTGGCTGGTCCTCTTTTGAGGAACGGGAGGCAAGCAGCGAGTTGCAATACTACGCCCGATTGCGACACATGAATGGAGATTGCTGGGCGCGGCGAGTTTTCATGTACATTCACCTTAGAGGCGCGCACAAAACATGGACACGCCATATCATCCGACTGGGGACGACACACGGGGCTTGCTCAATCTCCGACGAGCCTCCGACAAAGAAAGAGTGGGTTGCCAAAGTGAGAGAGAAATTTAAGACCGTCGATGCGGACCGGTGGAGAGCAGGCATGCAAGAACACGCAAGCATGCACCTTTACGCGTCTTTCAAGACCAACCATCGCTCCAATCCTCTGCTGTGGTAATGCGCTGGGCAGCAGGCGCCTCGCTGAGGCTCCTGGGGGCGCCCTGCGTACCCGCCTGTATCAACGAAAGTACGACAGCAAAGTGACCCCATGCAGTGCTTGTGGGGAAGTGGAAGAAACTATACACCACTTGGGTCTGGAGTGTCCGGCACTGGCACAGGCAGCAGACCTCAGCGCTCGCATCGAGCAAGCCCTCGGGTTCATTGAGGAGAACACGTATGTGCGGTGCTCGAAGCGGAGACTCGAGGCCTGGTGGGCAGCACATTGTTGAAGCTAACTATACCCGTTTTCACCTTAAGAAAAAAGTAGGCGTGTCTCTCTCGTCGCATGCTTATTGGTCGCATGCCGTCGCACTTATTATTCCGTTCTGCGAAGTAGTTCCGATAAAAGTTTGCTCTATTTAAGCTTAAATAAATTTGTTATTCTCTGTAGGGTAAATAATACACCTCCTTAGTACGCGTGTATTCGCGTAATTCAACGCCTCACAAGAGTTGAGGGTCGATGTTCGTAGCCAGCCGGCCAGCCGCTGTTGCTCGCCTTCCGAAATGGCGACTCCAACAACTCTGGCTGATCGGTCCGTGATGTCAGCACTCTTTCCTGAAGACGTTTTTCCTTGGGTGTACTACAAACGTTACGCAAGTGGAAATGTCCTGTCAAGCCAGACAAGGCAGTGTGTTTTGAACTTCTATTCTTGGATGCGGCGGCAGTACCAAGAAACAAATGTGATGGAAGTCGTCAACCTGACTGCCGCCGCAACGGGGATCAGTGTTAGCTCGGTCTACGAGATCAAGCGTGGCTTCAAACGTGCCAACGGAGCTGTGAAATCTCCTTCAAAGAAGCGCCCGAAATTAGCTGAGAAAAGGAAGAGGATTTCAAATGACGACGCGTGCACTTTGACGGCCGTGAGAAGCTGCCTGCACAATTTCTTCCGTCGGGGGGAGATCCCAACGTTGAAGAAAATCGCCGCTCGTCTCCAAGGAGACGACGTGCTGCCGTCCTGTTCCGGGTCTACCCTGTATCGCCTGCTGAAGGACATGGGTTTCGATAAACAGAAACGGAATCGCAACTCCTTCCTAATTGAGAGAAAGGACATCGTCTAGTGGAGGCGGCGGTATTTGAGGGCAATCGGAAAGCACAGAGCCCAGAACCGCAAGATCTACTTCCAGGACGAGACTTCGGTGAACGCCGGCCTCACAGTTAACAAGTTGTGGACTGACAGCACCATAAAGTCAGCAAGGCACGCCTTCATGTCTGGACTGACGACAGGGCTAAAGGTTGCTTCTGGAAAAGGTGAAAGAGTGATTGTCACCCACGTAGGTAGTGACACTAGCTTCGTGACCGGCTGCCTGGACGTGCTCTGTGGGAAGAAAAAGGGAGACTACCACGATGAAATTGACTCGAACAGGTTTGAAGCATGGTTTCTTCATCTGCTGGACCACATCGAGCCTAACAGCGTCATTGTTATAGACAACGCGCCATACCACAGCAGAAAGGCTGAAGCTGTCCGCACAACTGCAACAAAGAAGGGCGAGATCCAGCAGTGGCTCTCTTCCAAGAACCTAGACTGGACTGCCACAATGAAGGAAAAAGACCTTCTGAGCATCGTGGCAACGGTGAAGGATCGCTACACAAAGTACAAAGTTGACGTCATGGCTGCGGATGCCGGACACACAGTGTTGAGGCTCGCACCGGACCATTGCTAACTAAATCCCATAGAGTTGATATGGGCATGAGTCAAGCAGGAGGTCGCCTCCAAGAACATCACATACAAGCCCAATGACGCCGAGCGGCTCTTGAGGGGAAGCAGTGGACAACGTAACAGCTGTCCATTGGCATGACTGTGTAGAGCATGTGAAAAAAATGGAGGCGAAGTTTCGAGATTGTGATGTCCCAGAGTCGACCCTCGCGCCAGCCATCATACCCCTCGATACAAGGGACACGGAAGAGGAGAGTGGAGACGACGACGAAGCTGACGACGAGGATGAGGGTGAAGAGACCTTCGGTGTTCAGCCTTTAGAGTGGAATTGACCGTGAACTAATGTCCCTCTAGGACATGTTCTCTTCTGAAAGTGGCTAGAACTTTGGACTCTATTTGTCATACCCCAGAACACAGAGCGGTCCTTTTAAGGACCATTCACATACTGCAAAATCGGATTCCCGACTTCATACACGCCTAACCTCCAGTGTCATGTTGTTGTCGTGATTCTACCTTTCATTACGTAATAGCCTTGTTATGGCTTCTCGAGGTCTTTGAAATCAGCTGTATGTATCCCACTGCACCGTGGATAACCAGTACAAAGATTTACCCTACAAAAAAAAGTTTGCTGTTGTACTGCACTCGCTAATTTGTCCATCTACCGCAGAGGTGTCAGGCGCCATTTTGCCTTTCTGCTTTCTAAACATATATACATACAATTACACTTCAACGGTCGTTTTCATTAAAAAAAAAAAAAGTAGTGTTGGCGGCATGCCGAAAGTGGACCATTGTTCTGGAATGTGACCCTGAGCGTAACATTTCACTTGCTCACCTCATGCATATTCAGCGTCGCTTACACCTCATTTTAAGGTCTAAACATCATGTTCAGCCCAGTCTTTCATTGAGATAGCTGCGTTATTGCAGCGACCAGTGCCTCGGGCGGTTTGCGGGAAAGTAAACTCACAAACTGCCATCCACATGCCTTGGGGTCGCTCTGGCAATACACGTATCTCTCATCGACCATGCTGTTTCAGATTATAATCGGGATTCTGATCGCCATCCTCACAAAGGGCCACTCGGGCCACAAGCAGAAGCTTCGATGGGATCCTGGAAGAACGTATCTCACATCAACCACGCTGTTTCTGCTTATAATCAGGATTTGTACCACCATCCCCACACCACGGAACTTAAGAAAACAAAATTAAAGAATAACAATTTAAATTCACCGCGACACACAAGGAAACCGATTGCCCACTCAAATATACACGTAAACGTCAACGCAATAACGTAAACAAAGCTATATTAGGACAGGAAACTTTTCTTCGCCGATCAAGTCTTCATGGGTAACACCTCCCAGTGAAGACGTACGAAAAAGGACCGCATCTCCACGTGGTGAATGATGTTGATTGGGGCGAAGCTCTGGTGGTGCTTGTCTGCGTAGAGCGTCTACGTAGACAAGCACCACCAGAGCTTCGCCCCAATCACCGTGGTCCCAATCAACATCATTCACCATGTGGAGATGTGGTTGTTCTTGTTTTTTTCCCTACACGAGCACGGGAGCACGTGCACCCGACGGCGGACGGACATACGGACGGCTACCCCTAAAGGTGTATTCACACGGCGGACAAATTTCGGGAACGGTGTCCGCGGACCTGTTAAATATGCGTATCACGTGGCTTCGACGTCACAACAGACAAGTCCGAGAACATACGAATTAGTACTGCATGGTTGGCGTGAACCAAGGCGAGAACTGCTGATCCGAGCTCATACCTTTCTCGCTGCCTTCGCTGCACGAGATATCTGTTCAGGGTTGGTATTTCTCAACGCTCTCACCTCGCGCCGAGAGCCCCATTGGTGCTTCGCTGCGGTCCAAGCTACAAGAAAACGGCCACGCAACGCACGTGACGGTCGATTCCAATCCCGCCAGCGTCTGATGAACCTGGCATTGAAGACGACAACGATGAATGATCTCAGCGATGAAGCGACGCTGTGTTTAATGGCACTCGTAGAAGAGTTTCCTAAGCTTTGGTGCCTTCAAAACGACCAGTACCGCAACAACGGTATAAAATCAGAGCTGGAAACAAATTGCCAATGAAATGGAACGGCCCTACTCCCAGTATGGGCCTTACACGGGAAGTGAGTTCATTGAAGGCGGACTAATTAGTGTCGATTCCGTGTTGTATTTGACCGCTTATTGTTGTCTAATACCTTAGAGGAAGTAAGGGGCCTTTTTTAAAAAAATAAGCGACGCATCTTCAGACGGGAGAAGGAAAAGATTACGAAGACGAAGAGCGGCCAAGCTGCGGAGTACACGTACAACGGTAGATGGAGGTTCTACCGCAGTCTCCTGTTCTTGGATCGGAGCAAACCTGTCCTCTCCCGGGAGTGCAACGAATGTTACCAACACAAGGATCCCAGGGGAGTGAGTAACGTTTGGCGGGTTGACCCATTCGTTTAACTTGATTTTTTGTACCTATCGAACGAAACGTTGGCGAGCGTTCGTTGATGGAGGTCACTGAATCCTGTTAGCTTGGCTGACGATCGAGTTCTGGCTTTGCTCTACATGCTTCAGCAATTCGTTTTGTTCGGGCTTCAGCATTTTGTTTCGTTCACTCGTGTTAATCACGGTTTCTTGAAGTGCTGGTAGTCTCTGGATGAAGCTGCGAGACACTATCTTAGGATTTGACAACTGGCGGCCCGCGGGCCGGGTCCTGGCCGCAATGCAGTTTCATTCAAATTTATTAAGTAAACTTTTTTTTTTATTAAATTTTGCAAGTGAAATTGCCAACCGCCGGTGAGCCTTCGATGGGTCCGACCTGCTGCGTCTTTATAAAAACAAACTCTCGCTTCTCCCACAATACTACGGTTGTGACATCTGTTCTTGGTCACGTAACCCATCGCCGTCCTCCCTTCACTACTAAAACTATCTCTCTTTCTCTCTCTCGATCTCTCTCTATTTTTATCTCTCCCTCATTACTCTGAACAGTAAATGGCAGACACTTGCGATATTCTGCCGTGCAAGCGGGAGTTTTGAATACAGTTCCTCTACAGTAATGCATTCGTATTTCTTTGACCTTTCCAGATGGAGAGTGAGACAGAATTGGCGTCTGTTATGACAGAGATGAAGGAACCTGTCCTTGGCACGCCTTCCACACACACACCGCGCGGAACAACGATTCCCACTGTGGAAGTGTCTGGCACTCCTGTGAAACGCTCAAAGTGCGATGACGAAAAAAAAGAAGAAACAGATGACTGCTCCAGCTCTGGGTGGAAAGAGCGCACGGTTGCTGTCACTAAAATTGCGGAAAGGTTTGCAACTGAAAGAAGTTGCGACAGCGCTGATAATTTCGGAAGAGTAATGGCGGGCCACATGAGAAACCTAAATGGAACCAATTTTATTGAGTGTCAGATAGAGGTATTGGAACTAGTCAAGCGTTACCTAGACCGACAGCAAGAATAAATGTAATTCAACGAACCCAATTTAAACTAAAAAATGTTAATCCAAAATTAGCATTTCGCACTCATAAGTAAAGGGAATACTTGAAAACAAACAAATGCTTGTATCATTTGCCTTTTGTATTTATTCCATTCGGACCTGATGGCTGTTTTTGTTAAACTGGGGCGGGTGTGTTAGATTGCGAACCAATATTATAGCATGACAAAATAAAAAATAAAAAAAACATTAAAGATTCTTTCAAGTTTATTTACATAAAATTGAACAATTGGAGCATAACACAAAAAGTTTTTGGTGGTCAGAGTGCCAGCACATGCATGAACAATTGTTAAGTAAACGAAGTAGCAATATACAGCTCATGAAATGGTATATTTGCTTCTGCACTTGTCTGAACATGCAGATAAGGTTACATTTTGTTATTTATCCGCAGATTAAGGCCCGCCTGTTCCTTCTGCCACGCGACGGCGCCGTCGTCATTAAAGTATCTCAGTAGACGCTCACGCACATCTAGAGCTCTTGCCCCGGAGCGCCCTTTGCAACTTCGTAGCCCGAAGTAGATTGCCCTTTTTCGCTGGTGCTCCTCCCTTGACGCTTTAAAAAGCACAGGTGCAGCTCGCAAATAGTTGTGTAGCACACAGGCCGCCTTGATGAATGAGGTGACCCTTCCTGGTTCGGCATCGATAGTCGTGTGCAAAAACCTAAAACGGTTTGCCAGAATGCCAAACGCATTTTCTACTACCCGTCTGGCTCGGCTTAATCTGAAATGAAAAAAAAAAATAAAACGATAAGAAGTACGGTGTTTAGAAATGACATGATGTAGGCAACACACCTGTAGTTAAATATAACCTTTTCTTCATCCAAATTTGTACCAGTGTACGGCTTCATTAAGTTTACAGACAAGGGGAAGACGTCGTCTCCCACGATGACGGGTGGGACGCCGACCGGTCCAGGTCCTGAGATCGGCAGCCCGGCTGTTCCGTTCTCGATGGCATTCCGCAGTGGTGTCGTCCTCCAAATGCCTCCATCTCCATCAGACCCAGGTGCGCCAACATCAATGTACAAAAACCTGCTGTCTGCGTCAACAAGAGTAAAAAGCACGATACTGAAGGTCTTCTTGTAATTAAAATAAACAGATCCAGAGTTCGGAGGTTTGATAATTGTGACATGTTTTCCGTCCAGCGCTCCAATACATTGCAGAAACTGCCATCTTTCGTAAAAGTTCTTCATTACTGCAAGCCACTCATCTTTCGTCCGCGGGGACACCAGATATTTTGGTCCCAGCATTTTGTAAATGGCGTCACAAGTTTCAACGAGGAACCCGTTGACGGCGCTGTGGCTAATGCGGAACTGCCTGCTTAAGGAATGTTGACTTTCGCCTGAAAATTCGCAAGAAAACAAGAAACACGGCTAAGTCGAGCGTAGCTCTCAAATATGCTGAAACAAAGACAAAAGTAAAAAGAATAACCACACACCTGAAGCAAGAAACCGCAACGTCAGTTGAAGTTTGTCCTTGGCTGGAATGGCTGGACGCATTTCAGTGTCGAGTTTTCGGATGCACGATGCAATTGACGAGAGAATGTCAGCAAACTGGTTGGAGTCAACGCGCAGCAAGCGGCGGTACTCCACGGGGTCGCTCTCCAGAAGTTCTTGATAGAGTAGATTCCGTATACCGAGTTCCTTCTTGGACATCCATGTTTTGATTCATGGTTTTTTTGCGTCGGTATTAGGTGCTTCCGCGACTTCCTCATCCGCCATCATGAGGGCACAAGCCACAACAACTCGTGAAGCCTTGTTGGCCTCCATGTTCGAATCGAAAACAATTGTAATTCTCCGCTGCTGTGGGGTCAAACAAGCCTTGAACGCCTTTGGACCTCACTAGATCCGCGCTTACATGGATGGTGTCGGCCGGCTCCGGGGCAGAACCTGCCGATGGGAACGAGACGACAGGCAACCGATCTCGACGGTGACGAGGGCAGATTAGAGTGCCTTCATACACACGCGCGCTTTTGCTTGAGTGGTGACATCTCAGCCATTTTTCCGCCCAATCGTTTTTTTATGCATTTTGAAGTGCGCGCAATCCGGTGTCACTCAGCTCGAGCGCGTAGCTTTGGCTAATGCATAGACGCCATTTTACCGCCCAAGTCACGCACCGAGTGCGCGAGAGCGTCACGCGCTGGCACATTCAGGGCAACAATGGATGTCCTCACCCTGAGACAGACAGACATGTAGGCACCCTAGGGCAGATCTGAGGCGAGCGCCTCGAGCAGATTTATTTTTCATATTTTTGGTGGCCGAATCATGTCTTGCCGTCACGCGGCCCGTGGTTTTATACAACACGTGACACGTGCAATCGGCGCATTGTAGGTGGTGCCATCTCTGAATGAAGGACGGCCGTAAACATAATCACTACATTCTCCTCCCCTTATAAAAAAAGAAACGTAAAAGGAAGACAACATATCTACAGAATCGTAGTAACAAAAATACCTGCACATAGTATATAAAAAAATCATTTTTTTTTAGAGCGTATATGAATAATTCATCAATCTCCCCTCCATAAAAAAAACAGTGCAGCGGTAACACAGACAATTCCAACTGTTGAAAACCGACACACTTAGTAAATTGTCTATAATACACTAGACAAAAAAAAACAAAAAAAAACACAGGCATTGTTGCTACATTAAGCTGGGCACAACTTTGTTCAGTTCAGGCACAACCGCGTGGAAAGTCCCATTACAGTGCAAAATAGTTCAGTTCGTGAGAGGTGACATTTAAAAAAATTAGAAAAAGTCGCTTCAGTTCATTGCACATGATAATTGCCAGATGAAGAAAACAGATTACTGTTTCCATAAAATGAAAGCACGTAGTCCTTCAGTCGCTGTGGAAGTCTTCTTTCACGTACTGGCCGACTGTAGAGTTGAGTTGGCGTAGTCACGGTTGCTTCCGGGACGCAGGGGTGAGTACTGCTACCGTTCACGCTCTCTTCAAGGGGAGGTATGGAGGAAGGTGTTCCCGGATTAGATACAGCGGGGCTGCTGGTCGCCATCGGGATGAACGGTTGAAGAGGATCTTGAACCTCGAGACTTGGGAACACAGAGTTAGACGAAGGCACCTGCGGGGATGGACCTGGCACAGCAGGTTCAGAGCTGCAACTAGCTCTACTTGTAGCTGGACTGCAGACAGGATCGGGTGGAGCCGTGACAGTAGGGTTGCCCAACGGAGAATGGTGTCTTATCGGAGCAGGTTCGTTTTCATCTTCATCATCCCAGGAAAGATCTGCATCCTGCTGCTCTGGTGGAATGAACGTTCTTGTTAATTTGTCGGCGTTCCATATTCGCCCGTCAGCGAATTTATAAGTGGCCGGGCCCACTTGAGTTTGAATAATTTGTGGCGTTGAATACTTAGTTTGTAATTTATTCTTGTGTTGTGGTCGATAAATCCGGACCGCTTGGCCAGCGACGAACCTCGGCCACCGAACAGCCTTTCGAGAGTCCGAGTACGACTTCATGTTCTGTTGGTAACTACGCACTCTCGCATGAAGATCAGTCCGGCTTGACGAGACAGCCGGAGCCTCGGGGGTCGACATCCCTTGAATGTCTAACTTGGACCTATGGGTCCGTCCATGAAGCAGTAGGGAAGGTGCTTGGCCTGTTGCCGAGTGGGGAGTTCGTCGGTAAGCTTCCAGGTAGTCCCGGACAGCATCCGGCAGAGGGCGTCCTTGTACGGCGGCTAGCTGAAGACATGACTTTAATACGCGATTAAACCTTTCCACTTGGCCATTTGCTTGAGGGTGATATAAAGATGTTTTGGAATGCTTAATTCCATGCTGGTGTAGAAATTCTTGAAACTCGTGTGAAACAAACTGGACGCCCTTGTCCGAAACTATTTCGCAAGGAAGACCCTCGCGGGCAAAGACAGTTTTCAGGAAGTTAATAACAGTTGTTGAAGTTACTGATGCCACCGGTTGCACTTCCGGCCATTTTGAGTGATAATCTACTAGTACGAGAAAGAAACGTTGACTCGGAGGTGCGTGTTCAACCGGTCCCACAATATCCAACCCCAGCTTTTCCCACGGTTGTTTGGGAAACTCAACTGGTTGCAATGGTGCAGGTGCTCTCTTTGCAGTTTTGTCAGTTGAGTTACATACTGTACAATGTTGAATCCGTTCTTTGATTTCCTGAGACATTCGGGGCCACCAGTACTTGTCTCGGATGATGGTCGTTGTCCGGGAAATACCTTGGTGCGTCTCGTGGCCCAGTTGGACGATGCGGTCACGTAACTGTTCAGGTACTACAATCTTTTCCCCTTGGAAAAGGATCCCGTTATGTAAGGACAGTTGATCTCTTACATTGAAGTAAGGTCTCAGGTCGGTCAGGGCGAAGCTATCCTCCGGCCATGATGAAAGGGTATATCGAATCACACGAGGAAGGACAACATCTGTGGTGGTAGCTTCTTGAAAATCCGTTAGTGTCAAAGGAAGCATAATAAGGGAAACTACGTCCTCTTCGAACTGCGTACCGTTTTCTGTGTCTGACACAGGAAGTCTGGAGAGGGCATCGGTGACCACGTTGTCCGCCCCTTTCTGATACTCCATTAATTTAACAACCTTGCTGTCCACCGAGTGATCCGTAGAGGTCGAACTCCAGACCCTTTGTTAGAAAGTAAAGTTACCAAGGCTTGGTGATCGGTGCGAATTACGAAATGACGACCCCAAAGGTAAACATGCCATTTTTCGCAGGCCCAGAGACATGCCAGTGCCTCTTTTTCTCCGGTGGAATACATGCGCTCAGCGTTAGTAAGTGAGCGTGAGGCAAAAGCTATTGTCCGTAGTTGGTTTCCTAGCTGTTGTTGCAACACGGCACCCAACCCATACATGGAAGCGTCAGTGGATACCACGACTGGAAGCGTCGGGTCAAAAAGAGAGAGAATTGGTGCATCTTTAAGGCACCCCTTTACTTTCCGGAAGCTGGCCTCTACTTCTGGGGACCAGACAAAAGGAACGTCCTTGCGAAGTAATCGACGAAGCGGCACTACTAGAGTGGAACAATGCGGAATAAACTTGTTGTAGTACTCCACAAGTCCTAAGAAAGCTTTAAGCTTCGATGGATCAGAAGGAGCCTCAAAGTTTTGAACATCGTCTACCTTAGACGGGAGAGGAGCTAGCCCTTCCGTGGAAAGACGGTGTCCTAAGTACGATAGTTCTTGAACCCTGAAAACACCCTTACGGTTCAGCTTCATCCCTGCGCTTGAGATGCAGGACAATACCTCTCGTAGGTTTTCGTCATGTTCTCTCTGCGACGAGCCATACACTATGATGTCATCGAGATAAAATCGGACACCTTTGCAGTTCCTCAAAACCTTGGACATGATGTCTTGAAAGGCCGCAGGTGCTGAAGCCAGTCCAAAACAGACTCTTTTAAATCGAAAAAGGCCTTCATGAGTGATGAAAGCGGTCAAATCCCTGCTTTCCGGGGCAAGCCGGATTTGGTGGTAAGCTGAGGCCAGGTCCAACTTAGAAAAGTGGGAGGCTCCTTGCAAGGAGTTCAATAGTTCTTCGATATGTGGTAAAGGAAAAGAGTCGATGATGATGGCCTGGTTCGGCGCACGTAGGTCCACGCACAGACGAATACTGCCATCTTGTTTCCTAACCACAACAATGGGCGAGACCCACTCAGACGCATTGACGCGCTCAATAATGCCTTGATGTTCCAGCCTGAAAATTTCTTCAGATACCGCATCACGCAACGTGATGGGCAACCGACGTAACTTAGATTGAACAGGTGGCACGTTGTACCGCACCTTGACAGTATGGGTGTGATTGTGCACCAAACCCAGCTCCGGGCTAAAAAGATGCTCGAAGTCTTCGAACCCGGGAGGAAGCTGCGATACGCCCCGCGAAGTCGAAGATGCGGAGTGCGCAACAGCTGTCGACTGTGGGGTTCTTGATGAAACTTCTAGGTCCACTTGCTTGTCGGGTGACAGATGTGCCTGTGATAGGTTAACACCCGGTTGTGAAGAAAACAGGGTGCCGGGGACATCTGACGAACTTGGCTGGTGCGGTGGTTGGCGGGACGAAACAGTGAACGGCCGGCGCTGTGGAACTTTAACCGACGTCACATCCTGCTGGGGGTCCGGTCTTCCGTCAGCTGCGTTAACATAAGAGCAGCTGTGATCAGCTCCCGACAGAGTAATTTGCAACTTGCGCACAGCATCGATGCCGAGTAAGGAACGTCCATTTTGACAGACATAGAACTCCAGTGATGCAAAACGGTTCTTAAAAACGACTTGGCCAGTGAAGCTTCCAAGGACAGGAATGGTTTCATGCATGTAGTGAACAAGTCTTCGTGCAGGTGGATGTAACTGAATCTGTCCGGAGCGATTAATGTCATTAAAAATTCTTGCGTTTAAAATCGAGACGTGGGATCCGGTATCAATCAGGAGCTTTAAAGGTAGTCCATTTACCTGTACATCAGCGATGAAGGCATTTAGTCGGCTTCGGTCGACTACAGGGGCGTCGTCGACGGACGTGACGTTATACTGGTAGTCGCAGTCGTCGTGCACTCCAACCGTGGCTGGGCCGGATCTCCACGGAGGTGAAGGGCCGTGTTGACGTTCATGGACGTGGCCCCGGGAAGGAAGGGACGCTTGTCGTTGATCATATACGAAGGAATCTGACGGTGGTTGGCGACTCCTACAAACAGCGGCGAAGTGGCCCATCTTCAAGCAACGGAAGCACTGAGCGTGGAGTGCCGGACAGACGTCACGCGCATGGTTGCGACGTCCACAAAACCAGCAGAGGTCGGGGCCGCCTGCTCGCTCGCCCATTCGTGAAGGAGGAACGTCACGACGCTGTTGAGGACCCACTCGCGCTTGCGGCCGCGGTACATGGCTGACTGCTGGAGGGCAGGGAGTCATCCGGGACGTCCTTGGTGTTGGCGTGTACTGACGATAGGGCCAGGTAGAAAAACCTGGGTGGCCATCTTGGTTGAGCCCCTGGGATGCCAGTCGCCCTTGACCATCTTGATATCCTCGTCTTGGTGCGTGCGCCTGTTCGAAACGGGGTTGCTCGATGTACTGGACTTCACCGGAGCTTGAAGATGTCCCCGATACCGACGTCTGGCGTTGGTGAAATTGTTCGGAGGTCCGAGCCAGTTGCTCGAATTGTAGAGCGAGCTGTACTGCCCGGTTAAGTGTAGGTACTGCAGTGCCAACGCACTCACGTAGGATACGGTCCTGAACTCGTCTGGAATCGAGGCCCTCAAGGAACACGTCGCACAGATGTTCGTCTAGTGCAGTACCATATGCACAAAAAGAACCCTGATGTCTTAGAGCAGCCAGAAATTCTGAAACTGTCTCTCCAGGCAGCTGAGTCCGAGAGCGCAGTTTCTTGCGCTCCAAAGCAATACATCCCGAAAATTCAAAGTGTTTTTCGAGCGCGGCTAAAAACGCTTCAAACTCGTTCAGATGCTCCGTGGCCGGCACGGTGTTCAGCTGAAAAGCAGAGACAATGCGCTGCCCTTCTACTCCCAACATCGAAAAAAGGACATGCTTCTTCTGAGCCGGCGGAACGTCGTGGATACCGGTAGCATGGAGGTACGAAAGAAAGGCCTCCTTCCACGCCGGCCAGGCCTGTACAGGTGTGCCGGGAACGGCCAAGAAGACTGGAGGTGGAGGAATCGCCGCCGCGATATTAGTCAATGCTGATTGAGCCATTGTCAAGTAGGCTTAGATGGGCATGTGCATTCTAATATCCCATCCTCGTCGCCATTTTGTAATTCTCCGCTGCTGTGGGGTCCAACAAGCCTTGAACGCCTTTGGACCTCACTAGATCCGCGCTTACATGGATGGTGTCGGCCGGCTCCGGGGCAGAACCTGCCGATGGGAACGAGACGACAGGCAACCGATCTCGACGGTGACGAGGGCAGATCTGAGGCGAGCGCCTCGAGCAGATTTATTTTTCATATTTTTGGTGGCCGAATCATGTCTTGCCGTCACGCGGCCCGTGGTTTTATACAACACGTGACACGTGCAATCGGCGCATTGTAGGTGGTGCCATCTCTGAATGAAGGACGGCCGTAAATATAATCACTACACCGTCATTTTCTTTCTTTTTCTTTTCGGCTCCTCTTTTCACTAAGCGCAGGAATCCTCGAGCATTTTCCACAGCTGTAGCTCGTGCGTGCTAATCGTACTGGAAAATGAGCAAAGGCCTATTCGTGCACGAGAAGCGTGAGAGGCATATAAAAGAAAAAGAAAAAGAAAACCACTCGTGCACCGAAGTGTACCACGAGCACTTTCACGCAATCGGTTCCCTGGCTTGTCCGAGGACCGCAGCGGACTCGAAAAAAGGCAGAATTGGATCGCTTTCAATACTCCTATAATCATGGTCCGGCAGGTCCGCGGACATATTCTGTGACGTTCGCCCACGTGATACGCAAGATATATCAGGTCCGAGGACACGTTTTTCAGGTCCGTGGACATGTCCCCTGGTTTTGCCTGCTCTTTTCGCAAGAAGAATGACCGATTTTATACCCCGGAAAAGGTGACGTCACGCCTTTCGTAGGAACTTATCCGCGGACGAAGTCCTTCGTGTGAATACACCATTATATCCACACGACGGACCAAATTGCCGTTTCGGTCCGCGGGCCGCGCATCACGTGATCTTACGTCACCGGTTTTCGAAGTCCGCCGGCGGTCCGCGGCCCGCGCTTCTGAGAAATGCCAAGCGAATTTTCTCGCCCCGACCTTGGCGGCGGACCCCAGTATTTTTAGTATAATTGAAGCTCTAAGTCTGACAACAAGCAGACTTTTGTTGTTTGGATAGCTAGCTAGGAATCCAAATCTAACGTCGTTTTCTTTTGGCGCCAACTGTTGAAGACGAAGAAGACGAACCTTTTGTTGTGCGACGATGCAACTTTTTACTTCATCGCGCTCGTTGAGCAATTCACGCTCTGTGGGACGATAGTTGCATGCCCATTTTGGGTTCACTTAAGTCCTCCTCGTCCTCAATTGTCAACGCCAGGGCGACCGCGGCCGAACGTCTCTTTCGTTCAACCTCCATCTTGGCTCCTTACAAATAGCCTCAAAGCAGCTCGCTGCGTGCGTTTGGCGAAGCTGTGAGGTCGAGGGTTCTACCGGCCCGTTCACTCTGTCGTCTGCTCTTTTGGTCCGCCGTGTGAATGCTCATTGCAGCCGGGCGGGTCGCGGGCCGCGCATCACGTGATCAATCGGTCCGCGGCCCGGTCCGTCGTGTGGATACACCTTTAAGGAGCTTCGCCCCAAATAAACTATGTAAAAATAGGTTCGTGGCTGGTAGCAGGTCTAATCGATCCCAGTTCATCAAGTTTGCAGCGATGTCGATGATGTCAGCTGATCTTTTTGCTTTAGCGCTCCATGGTTGCCGTTAAAAACTGTAAATACGCTAAAACTGGCACACATTGATTTTTTTTCTCGTGGTGCTTTTAGAAAGCTGACGATATAAACAGTGTTAGATATACAAAGATATGTTTATTGAAGATAGTTTAAAGAAGCGATGCATAATTCTGCAGATCATAAGCATGTTTATTAGAAACAAACGCTATTTAACGAGGTATGTTTGAGCTTTTTGCCACTAGAGGATACTGCAGTGCTACATTCGTTTTGGTTTCGGTCTCTAATTGTGGATCCCATCACCTCCCGACGGAGAGTGGTGAAGTCTACGCGATATCGCGGCATTTCATTGGTGGAAACCCAGGACACTCCGCCACCAGCCGGACTTTTTTTACTTCGGTTCTTAAGGTGAAAACGAGTATAGTGGATATTCTCCGTTTACTGTTTTTGTTTTTTTTTTGCGTCTTTTTAGTAGACGTCCGATTCAAAGGGAATCACCGCATAAATACATACATACATACATGCTTCCTGCTACCAGATCCTCGCGCTCCAAATCTGCGACCGGGCACTCTATGGCTCTGTCGTCGAGCTGCCAGGCTTTGTGAGTACAGAGGAGGCTACGGCTCTGCACAAGCAAGATGGCGGCACCTACGCCAATATCGGGGAACAGGGTGCCGATACACTAAAGCATAGTTCACATGCAGCGGTTTTGGCCCTAGAGCGGCGCGATTTCTGCCGTCGCGGCGCTCGTGCCACTCAATTGCTGGGGCTGGCCAGAGCGCCGCGACGGCAGAAATCGCGCCGCTCTTGGGCCAAAACCGCTGCATGTGAACTAGGCTTTAGGGCCAAAATCGCTGCATGTGAAACCCGCTTAAAGCGTGTTTCACATGCAGCGATTTTGGCGGCGCGATTTCTGCCGTCGCGGCGCTCGTGCCGCTCAACTGCTGGTGCTGGCCAGAGCGCTGCGACGGCAGAAATCGCGCCGCTCTAGAGCCAAAACCGCTGCATGTGAACTAGGCTTAAGCGTAGTTCATTTAGTGGCTCTAGTATGGGCTCTCATCGCCCGATAAAAAGGGTTCAGCCACCATAATCCAATCCAATCTTCTCCTACCCTAACAGCCACGCGCCACAATCGATCAAAGAAGAAGTTTTGCTCCATCGGCTCCGGCACCGAACAGGCTTTTTTGTTGCGGCCTTTTCTTGGAAGCAGAACCACGTTAGCGAGTCGGTGAGGTGCCGCTGCCAGGGGGACGACAACCAGGAACAAAGTGAGTGCGCTACGAAGTACCCAGTCCGATCGAGAAATCCAAACCCTCTTCCGCCAGCGTAAATAAACGGCGCGCTGCAGAATTTTACAACTTCGTGAGAATAGAGTGTTAGTAAATTGTTTAGGTAACTCCGATAACGGTACCTGATAACGATACGACGCGTGCGCAAAGGTTGGGTATCTTTATCGGAGTAATCGGAACGATCTACTGAAACTCTTCACAAACTCCCCAACGAGACGCTGCCGCCTGTGGTAGAATGCGTAGGTTTGAGAACACGAAGTTACCTGTATGAAAAGATATAAAAGACAAAAATAAAATTTCGCTAAGAGCCGGCGTCCACCTAAGGTAGATGTTTACTTTACCAAAAAATTACATTGTGGACGTCTTTAATATATTATATTTCAGAGGAAAAAAAACACCTTGTCTGCAAGAAAGGAAGAAATATCGGTTATCTTGGTGATGCTACCCTGTTTAATAATAAATAATAAAAGATGCGCATCAGACATGTTATAAAAATCTTCCACAAGAGGGGAATTTCTCTAGGGTAGTTTCCATGCCCAAGCCAGGCAAGACGCAAAACAATGATCTAAGCAAGGTTCTATAGACCGACACGCTGTCTACAAACGAGCCCGCTTTTTCCCACACAAGGTGTGGGCAGTGCGCGTGCGCAGAAACCGAATTCGCATGAAGTGAAGCGTCTGCGCATGCGCAGTGCCGTGAACAGCGCCACCGCAGCTGCGTGACGTCAGGGCCGCGTGTTGGTCTATATGCTCTCAACCTTTGGCACTATATTACCGCCGCAGCACCAATTTTCGGAGTTTCCGATTTCTGCGAGTGGTAGCTCATTTATGCGGGACGAAGAGTCGGGTTTCGTTAGAGAGTTTTGTTAGATCGTTCCTATGACTCCGGTAATGATACCCTATGCTCCGCCTCAGCCTTTGCGCGCGCATCGTATCGTTATCGGAGGTATCGGAACGATCTACTAAACCTCCTCATTAGAGAGTTCTAGGGAACCGTTTTTGCACATCCCATGCGCTACGATGGCCCCTCCAGTACGAGCTGCGCATATGTCAGAATTCTGCGGTAGCGCATGCGCAGTTCGTACCGGAGGGCCCATCGTAACGCCTGGGATGTGCAAAAACGGTTCCCTAAAACTCTTTGTTAGGGAGTTTTAGGGAACCGTTTTCTCAGATCCGATAAGGTACGATGGGCCCACCGGTACGAACTGCGCATCTGAGAGTTTTCATATGGTTGAAAAAACCCGAGACTGCGGGTAAACGACACAACACTGAAAGGTCTCTGCGGTAGCGCATGCTCAGTGCGTACCCGAGGGCCCATCGAACGGTATGGGATCTGCAAAAATGGTTCTCTAAAACTGCCTATTATTTATATCGAACCGGCCCGTACGTACATCAGGAAAAGCTTGTGGAGTAGGTCTGCAGGCCGATTTCGGCACTTTGATTGGCGTGCTTTTCAACGGACGTCCACATTGCCTCGTCTACTGGTAGAAATATGAGAGTGTTGGGGGTAAAGTTCCTTAATATTTTGTCTTGCAGCTTCATATCAGTTGCCGAGCTCGCGCCTGTAGCCAAGCCAAAACATTTCTGGGTCGAATCCTACAGTGGACTTAAACCTAAGCCCCCCCCCTGCCCCCCCCTTTCCTCTCATTACCCCGTAGACCAGGAGAGGTGACGTCCGTGAAAACGCGCCAATCAGAGTGCCACCATTAGCCTGGTGACTCACTCCAACCAGCTTTCTCGAATACGTGCCCGGTACGATCATTTGCATACGTCGGAGCATTAGTGCTGTGTTTATACTGCGGTCGTCACTTCCAGGTCATGGTGGCCTTCGTGCTGACTCTGTGCTGGACACTTCTCGACGTGGTCACGTGCCAGATCGCAGTGCACGAGTGAGTTCCGTCGAGTCAACGACCGTGATTAGTAACGGGCAGCTTGGGACACTGATTTGAATGTAGCGCCCACAGCTTCGAGAAGGATTCGTTCCACGCCGCGATGCTTGCTACCGCCAAACGTCTGTCGGTTACAAAAATAGTATAAGTAGGGCTGGGCACTTGATCGATTAACCTATCGAGTAATCAATTAATTCTTTAATTGCGACTAACTGAACCGGTTAACCGGGCAAAATGTGAAAAGCAGACGGAAAAGTAAAAATGCAACGCATTCACCACGCAGACGTAGACGAGTACCCACGTATGAAGGCAAAAGTTGGGGTAAATTTTGACCTAAAGTTTAACTCTACGGGACAGATTTGTAACTCTACTAAAGATGGTTATGTTTCCCAGCCACTTCAACGCCGCGTGAATGTCCGTTCAGCGCAGCAGAGACTATCGTGTACAATGAAGGGCGTTCGCTATTACTGGAGAATACGAATTATTCACATGACGCCATATTTGTGGGTGCTGTTCAAAGCGCATGCTCAGAACGAACTCACGTTGATAGGCTGCTGAGACCGACACTCTTCATGGTGCGGAATGCACGTTGCAAAAAAACTGTGGATGCTCGCCATCAGCACGCGCTCAGAATTCACGCACACAACTATGGCCGCCAGTGAATACTCCCTATATGAACAAACCTCTTAAACCCCATCGACCCAACACCGAACCTCTGCGGCTGAAGTAATAACCTAGGATTGTGGGTGTCTTTTGACCGTTCTCAACAACACATCATGGGTGATTTAAACTCCAAAATTGTGTATTGCGCCGTTTAACATATATACCATACGAAAAAAAAGCTTTTTAATTGCATTATGCATGGGAAGAAACAAACCCGATGAACCGATTAATAACCGATTAGAGGGTGGCGATTAATTGGGTTAAAACCTTGAATCGATCCTCAGCCCTAATTATAAATTAACGCGCACGTCTGTAAAAAAAAAATAGAACAGCGTTCTTGCGGCACAAAGGGCGGCGGAGAGATGCTCACCGGAGAAAACCTCATCTCGGAGATAAGCCCACTGGAAATAAGTTCACTGGAGACTTACCGCAAAATCTTCGAATGTGGAGAAAATCTTACCTACGAATATGTGATCCTGCAGCGTTCACTCAACTAAAATACGCTCATTCAGCATGTTCGATGGTGTATCTACCACAAGCAGGTACGTAGCCCCGCTCAACCTCGGGCATCTGCGTACCATACATCAAAGATACAAGCAAGGCGCTGGCACCCGTGCTAGCCAAAGAAGGAATCAACGTGGCCTACAAGCCAATGTCCACCCTCGAACGGCTCATTCTCCGTCCAAAAAAATCCCTCGCCGAAAGAAAAGAAAATTGCGAGGACTCCTTAGCACTTCGTATGAGTTGTGAATACGAAAGCATGAATGTCGTTCTTCCGCTCCCTTAGTTCGTCTGCGGCGTACGGGCGTCGACGGCCACGTTTAGCTACTGCCGAGGTTGCGACCGACGGACGAGCGCGCACTCTCGTGAAGTGGCCGCGCCGCGCTGAGCTCGGCCGTGCAACCTCTCCGGAGTTTGCCCGAGCGGGCTCTGCGGCCAAACACGCCCTCTTGCCGGCGGCCGGGCTACAGCGACGTTCGCTGAAATGTGGATCGCCTGATTGACGTGCCTGTAGCGTTTGTTCCGCTACTGCTCTAAAATATTTAACCCAGTTTTAAAATATGGGAACAAATTGTTCACTTTAACATATATAGACATCCAGTTTATAACGACCTTAAATAAAAATTGAACTCAAGGACAGCTTTCTCCGAGTCTGTAAAAAAGAACTGGTCTGTTTTTCTCCGGACCCGCGAAAAAGTGAGTGAGCTTTTCTCCGGCGAGCCCTTCTCCGGTGAGCTTTTCTCCGGGATTCCGCTGCAAAAATAAACTACAAATCTCCGAATTATCAGATATGTAGCGTTAACCGTCGGGATGTGCTAGATGCCAATGTTTGAGGACCTCTCGTTATGTAATCAAAAGAAGATGTTTCTTGGGATATAAATTACACCCAACAGATCCCGAAAACGAGGGTGAATACAGACTAAGTAATTTTACACTCTAAGTGTGTAAACAAAATGTATTTCAGAGTCTTACACCTAAGACTACACCTTTTCAGCATCTTTATTTCAAGTAACACATTCATTTAATTATAAGGTTGGGAGCTGTTGCATAAAACACTCTTAATTTTAACGGTGTAAACAGGATGTAGAAAAGATGGCTACGCCAAAGGAAGATTGCGTAGTGAAAGTTCGTCTCCTTCTTGCAGAGGGGTTGCGGAGGTTCAGTTACGGACTCCTGGGGTTCGGTTTCGGAGTGTTTCGGAAGATTCCGAAATTTTTTGGACGAAATTTTTTGTCGTTTCGAAGGATCGGCAGTTTCGCAGCTATCTAGACAACGTGGCGTTGTCCTTTTTGTTTTGTGGACGTTGGGAGTTTTTCAAGGCTCTAAATCAGGGGTGGTCAAGCTCGCGAGCCGCATGGGGCTCTTCGCGTGTTAAAGTGCGGCTGGCGTCTCCCTCCACCCCCGCCCCTCGCCTCATTCCCCCGCCTACCTCCTAGTCACACGAGCACTTCCCCCAAAAAAGGAATGAAACGCGTTTTAAATCGATGGACAGGTTGAGGTTCGGTGGTCTTGTGCTACTGCTACATTACGTACAGTGCTTTTGACTCCGATAGATTGAAAGTACCTCGATTTTCGTTTATTGTTTTGATCGTTTATTGACATTTATGATCAACGGAGTTACAAGAACTCCGTTAAGTCCTCAAGTGCCTACTCTCGTCCACAGCCATCACGAAGGACTACGAAAATAATAATAGATACTCTTATTGGGAAATTCATCAGTTAGAATGAATTTTAAAACAATTTATGGAGCTCTCAGCTTACTTTAGAGCGACTTTAGCATTCCTTTATATATAGATATATATATACTTGCGGGCACAGCAATCACGTCCCCTTTGCTCCTTCCTGTTCGTACTCGTCACAGCTCATCACTGTGCTCTCCATTCCTATCTTTTCGCTCTTGATCTTGTTTTTGTGTTCTATGTTCTCTTTCGCTTGTGCTTTTGTTTTATAACTTAACTTTATTATTTCAGTGTTCTTTGTGTTTCGCTTGGAGGACCAACATCTGGCCCTCCAAGCGATGGGCTTCACCATTTGCCCATGACACGGCAACTCGGATGGCAGCCAAGGAGGTTCGCTGCTGCGCGTGCATACAAAAAAGAACAGCAACTTGAGTCTCTGGCAGTTTCGAAGGCTCCACTGTCGGCGCTACCAGAATCGGTGTGGTAAGCAGAGCGGACCGAGCAGACGAGCAACCGGAGAGAGAACAAACTCACAAGCCGAGGAACAATGGAGAGCATTCGCGCAGGAACATCATCGTTGCCTTTAGAGCGGCTCGTACCAGCCCGTACCAAGCAGAGTTGTTTCGCTAGCAAAATCAACACGTGTAATCGCTAAACAGATCCAGATAAACAGAACCCATAATGTTGTCTACAAAAATAAATGGCAATACATCAGCAATTTTGTTTCATCGAGCCATTTGTTTTGCTAAATGGGTGACCGTTGTTCCAACAAATCGAAAGCTACAATTGCGATAAATATCTCCTAAATGGCATGCGAGATGTTCTCCGACACGTCTGACACCCGAAAGCTTCAATGACCTTTGAGAATCTCGAAGGCCTTTGGCCTAGACGGCATTTGAGTTCACCGTCTGACAGGCGTATAAGCTGTACTTACTCGCCTCTGTGCTTCGAGACTTTTCTTTTGTTCATCATGTTATTTAATTTCCTCCAGGCTTAGAGTTACACCGCCAAACTTAACAGGCTTACCTGCGGTATTGCTTTTATGAAATGCCTGTGTGTTTGGGGACAATAGATCCTATTCAAAACCCCATCAAGCAACATTGGCGGTCGCCATCCCTTGAGCACAAAGCGTCTGATTGGATTCGAGTTCGCTCCGAACGCGGACGCTGCCTTCGTGTCCAATACACGCGCAGGGCACCTGACCAGAAAACGGCGGTCTCGAATAATTGGCGCACCAGCTGCTAGGTGGCAGGCACTTCTCAAGAGGGTCCATATGCGGAGCGCAAGTTCGTGTGCTTCTTGCAGAGGGGTTACGACGATGACCGAACGCCGAGCTCTTATTGGCTGACTGAGAAATAAAAGTAGTGGGTAGACATCAACGAATCTAGTATAGGGGGTCTACCAACTGTCCTTCCTATCGAAACCAATCAGAGCTCGGCGTCGTTCTGACGTCACCGCAACTCCTCCGCAAGAAGCAGACGAATTGCTCTCCATCTCCAAGTATCGGACCTCGGTCGTCTTAGAATGGCAACGGTTGAAGCGTGGTCGGCGTACACACACACAATGTTACAAATGCGGCGTACATACTGAAACGCTGCAAAAGTGAGAGCTACCATGAGAAGACGTATGTTCTTTGTTGCAGATCATTCCCCATGGGTGACTACATGAAGGGTAAAAGGGCTCGGCTCGATGACGTCACTATATCGGAATATGACATTCCGAATGTCCCCGATATCTCGGACAGAAGAAACTATCCCAAAGGTTCGATCTTCTCTAGAAGTTTTTCCTCTAGTCGCTGTAGGTTCACTCGAAAAAAAAAGCAAATAAAAATAGCGCACGATTTTAATCAACTGCTGACTGACTTAATCACTGACTTCCACGGGTTTATTCTTTTGATGCAACAAAGAAGCTAATGGCGCCATAAAACGTTCCTTTTCGATGCTTTGTGTATATATACAATGTATACATGGCTTGTACTTGACGTCATCACATCGTGCTGAACGCTTCTACTTGTTCGTGCTACAGAAAATTCAATGGCGTAAAACGCATGCTTTACTGGACATGCGCTTAGCAGCAAGGTTACCAGAATGGCCGCCGATGTGACGTCAGTGCAAGACATGTATAGGCGGTATTCACTGGACGCCATATTTTAGTGCGCTTTTCAGAGCGCATGCTCAGAATGAGCTCACATTATTAGGCTGCTAAGACCGGCGATATCGATGACGTGGAATGCACGTTGCGAATGAACTATGGAAGCTCGTCGTCTGCACGCGCTCAGCAGTCGCGCACACAGCTATGGCCGCCAGTGAATACTTCCTATAGACCAACACAAGGCAGATGTGAGCATGCGCCGCGCCGACAGCAACGCCGCGCCCTGGTGATAGGGGATCTATATACGTTTCCAAGTCCGACTTCAGGGCGCAGCCATCTTGCTCAGTTGGGATGCGCTTGAGCGCAGCCATAATCCGATAACGACGCCTTAGCAAGGCTTCGTAGTCGGACTATGAGGCGTCCAAACGCACTTCAACCGAGCAAGATGGCGGCGCCCAGAAACCGGACTTGCAAACGTGTATAGAGAAAAAAACTCGTGACGACACTCAGAGCGTACCAGACGAGTAATCCTTCTGGAGAACATGGGGATAGAGGAGGGAAGTAACTCATTAGAGCAGGAATAACGTTAAAGTAAAAGACGTAAACTCTGAAACATCTGTCTCCAAGCAGCCGTTTCCCGGCCGTTGCCGTCAACCCCGACGTCCGCTTCCACGACGACGTTAAGCTGGGCAGACGGCAGGGAGGTCAGCGAAGTTCCCGGAGGAACTCCGGGTGTCGGTCCCGGACCCCGGCTCGCCTTCGGTTCGGCCTGCGGCGCGGACAGAGAGTGCGACATGGCCCTGGGTCTCAGATGCCTCGGGTAACTCACTCGCAAAACCGTCGGTATGAAAAGAGTTTGTTGCCGAGACACGTGCGAGGAGTAGCATTGCACGAGGCATTTTCGCTCTTGCTCTATGCCGACTTGGAAATGATGAGCAAAATTTCAGACGTAATTTTCTCCAAAACATTTGTTCGTACTAGAGTAAAGGCTTTGGTCTGTTGGGTTTCGCGGAACGCTAATTCACGTAGTGCCAAAATTTATCAGGATTGCGGCTGTTTCCTGATGTGCCTGACGATCGCGATTTAAAATTGGCTCGCATTTTTTTCCGGCAGCGTTTGAATTCAATTTCCCGCTTTGGGGAGGCCACGTTTCTTCATCTTTCGATGCAGAAAACGTTTTATTCTTAAAACTGTTTTTAACTCAGAAGAAAACCAATAAGGAAATTTAGACCTACAATTTTTCTTCAGCGGAAACCTGAATTATGTTAGTGAATTCGAATAATAATAATATCAATAACAATAATAAATAATTTTGATTAGGTGTCAAGGAAGAGCCATTCGGTCTTGGTGCTGGCACACCGGACATCCAATCATTTAAAAACAAGGAGCACACTTACATTACAAGATAAAACTTGAAAATTATAACTGGACAAAAACACAAAAAACATCCGAATCAGCGACACATAAAATTAGAAGGTAAATATTTACCTGAAGTTGATACGTTGGTGTGCCGTGAAGGTTAATGTCCATAGTCTGGAGAGTAAACCACACAGACAGAAGAAAAACGATAGTGTTAACCGACAAAGTTTCTTGGAAATATTAGTAACCATGTAGCTTCATGTCATTTGTCATCATATTAGGCTAGTTCAAAAGTAATAGTAAGATGTCGGCTACCTGAACTTCAAAAGTAAATTAACGTGTAATAATAATAATAAGAAAAATATTAATAAATAAATCTTTATTGGTTCCCCAGGAACAAACATGTGGTCTTGATTCTGGCACACCGAATCCTCCAAACAATCGAAAAACAGGAGCATACAAGTATTGTACACGGGTTAAAACCAGAAAAACATAAAAACATCCCAACTAGATTGGAATAAGCAACGCATTTCATTACACAAAAACTAAGCAGAAAAAAAATTATGCGCGTTGGCATTTTACAGCACTTGAACTGTGACAATCGCACGTTGGCTGTGGAAGCCACAGAGATAAAGGCGACATCAAGAAAAAGCTATGAGCAGTGCAAGGCATTTTACGCTTGAGGATAAAATAACTTCTCAGGTCGGGCTTAACTCGAACAAATTTTCTGGGGAGTTACGAAAAGTCTGAGAGTTCGATTAAAAATGTCAAGCTTCTCTGCGTACTCGTTGTAGCTTTCCAAGAACCTAGCTAGTGGGCTTATTATCTAGATACAGAAAAGCGTGATTTGAGTCTTTTATCCACTCTAGTAACATGTAGTTTGAATAAAAGACATGGAGAAGGAATGTCTCCATGCAGGGTCTAAACAAAAATAACAAATCCGGCTTTCCTCGGCAGTGCCTCGTAATTGAAAGACTACTCATCACTTGTCAAGAAGCGGTGCTTAAAGATTGAAATCAATTTTTTTTTTGTAGATTTTCAATTTTTAGCGAATTACTTTTACAGACACCATCTCGCACCACCGATGCGCATTCTAGCTGTGAACGGCTCAGTGAACAGTAAAGCGTAATAAATTAAAGTACAAGGATTGGCAAATTCCCTTATCAAGCGACTCACAACTGCCCAAGCTTGTAACGATTCACTAACTATTCTTCGCACATCAGCATCAAAACGCACAAACTTGAATCAAAGGCAACACCGAGATCTCTTATCTCCGTCACACGAGACAATAAATCGCCGCCAATACGATAACAGATAGCGGTAATAATCCCTGGAGAAGGGCAATGAGGGGACAAATGACTGACACGTCCTTCGTCCCCCTTCTACGGGTATTATTGTCGTTATTCTTGTCCAGCTTGCTTGCACCGCTGCATTAATTGCATTATCAGCATAACCTTCAAATGCAGGCCGTTCACCCATGTTGGTGTCTGAAGTTGGTGGCGCCCGCTAAAACCTGTTTGCTCTACTGGCGTGTAGCTCCTTGTTAGCGCAGTTGGTAGAGCGCTCTACTGAAAATGGAGAGGTCCTTGGTTCGATACCAGGGAAGGCGGATTGTTTCAGTCGCGCACCAGTCACCTATTTGTGTTTAGGGTTTTGTGTTTGCCCTTGCCCCCCATGTTCCCCTTCTCCGTGGATTATTATCGTTATTATTGTCCAGCTCCCTTGCACCTTTGCATTAATTGCATTATCACGATAAGGAAAACTTATTTTTTGCGTTTTTTGTTAAAACGTCATTACTTTTGTTTTCGAACGAATAAGACGGAGCTTATATTTTTTTACAACAAATGTTGAATGTGTTTGCGTCGGTCTGCAGCGCGCAGTCGCCAGTAGTTAGAATTTCTCGGGAGATTCTAATATCCCCGATATCCCCGATATAAAGAGATGTGAGATAGCAAGAGGGATAGCATCGTTCAGAAATATAGGACATAGGAGTGGCCTAAACAAAATATCCATGAGGCACACCAGAATTTGTTTTGTAGCTGTTGTGGAAGTCATATGATTAACTCGGACAAAACTCTTCCTATGCAGTACATAACGTTCGAGCCATTCAAGCATTTCTACTGCAACAACATAGTATTAAGAAAAAGTTTGGAGAGGAGGATTTCGTAATCAACTAGGTCATACTTCTTGCTCAAATCTAAATTAACTACAACGACTTGGCCCTGTTTACACACTACACCTGAAGCAGTTGAAGTAAAAGTAACCAAATTAGTTGTCGACGTGCCTTGAACAAATCCATGCTGGTTGGGAATTAACAAATTTTTTTCTCGAGAATGATAAAACTTTATGAACAACCATTTCAAAAAGCTTAAAAGCTAAGAAGAGAGATCGGTATATATTTGGATGCATTTCCTCCTTTTCCCTGACTTTTGGACAGGAACAACCACAGCGAGCTTCCGCGCGTCTGAAAGTATATGATAATTTAATGAGTTGTTAATATATCACACAGCGCGGGGCTGCATAAATCATGGTCAGTTTTAATGAAAGCGGAAGGTGTTTTGTCGTAACCAGCCTGCGAATTCGGGTTTGTCTTTTTAATACACTTTTTGACCACCTACTCCTTGATTGAAATTGAGTGGAGAATGTTGTCAAGCATAGCCGAATGAGAGTCATCAGAGTATGTGCCTATCTGCTCTGTCTGTGTAAATTGACATGAAGTGATCGGCGAAATTTTCCGCAGTGTTTTCTGCAGTGACATCATCTATGACGACTGTATTTTGTCTGTCTGCCTTTGCTGTACGCCAGCCAACGTGCTGCCAGACATTTTGGAATTATCATATAATTCTGAATCTGCCGCTTCTCAGTGTCCCAGGCGATCCCAATTTATTAATTTTTACATTCTTTTTTGCACTGTTTAAATTTAATTTTGCACTTAAAGACCGACGACCAGTTCGCCCTTTCTATTTTTTCCCCGCTTCCTCCTCTCCCCCTTCTACCCTGTCCACTGTTGCCTGTTTCCTCCTCCCCCAGGGTGAGGAGGATCTTCTGCCTTGCAGAGTCTCGTGTCTGGTCGTCGGCCTTTAAGGAAAGACACTACCCAGAAAAAGGTCGATTTAGAAAAATGGCATGTTTACATCCGCCAATACCTAGAGAGCATTCCAAGAAAGTTTTGTTCGTTTACACTGCATTTTTATTTTTTATAAATTATTTTCGGTCCACAAATGCTAAAAAAAAGGTAGAGGTTGGAGTACTTGAACGCATTTTCTGCGTTTAAATTTTTTGCATACATTTCACTTTAGAAAAACTATTGTCTGGTAAAGGGACAAAGGGAAAAAATCACTTATTTTTTTTCCTAACTGGAATTTAATAAGCGATGCAGAGGTGGCATTCTTTTTTTTTTTACTTTGTGGAGGTCTTTTATAAAATATGTTAATATTTTGCCGAAGAAGTAAGAGACAAAAAATTTATTTGATTTTTTCACCATAATGTTAGCATAAAATAAATTACTTTATAGAAAATTTCTTTTCATAGCTACACTATGCACGCATTCTGCTGCGTATCTAGTGAAAAAAAAACGTTGGATGTTAAATTAGTTTTTTAACGATAGTTTTGCTAAACAAAGTCAGTGTTCCTGATAAAGACGACTATACTATTTTTTCAATATTTATATACATAGATTAAATTTTGCACTGCATGCTGCCTCACAACTGCCAGTATATGCTGTAAATGTCATTCGTATTGAGCGAAAGGTTCAAAAGTTTACACGGTGTTCCCTTCTTAAAGAGGCGAGTTGTCTTTAGATTTCTGTGCAAAAAAAATGTTCTCCCAAAGTACGTAAATTTAACTCTGCTGCTTGCGTTCAATCTCCTTTTATATAATTATAACTCTTGCGCGAACATGAATCGTTAGAGAGAATTCGCTTCCGCCTACAATCGGGAACTTTATATCCAGTGCGGGATTATATTTCTCTTGCGGTACTATTGGTATTGTACTTGGAGTTAGACTTAAATCATCCAAGTTAGAAAGGCACAAATCATGAGCGTTTCTCTGGCGATTGTAATTTCCGCTGTGCCGTGTTACACGTAGGAAACCAGTGGAGTTAGTTAGCAAACTGCACTTCCGCGAGACATCGAATTTGTTCGCTGAAATGTTGGAAGATGTCCAGTTGATCCCCGGAGTGTTCAAATCTCTCAATATTAGACATTTATGAGCGTCAAGCTCGTTGACAGTGTCTTCTACATATCTGAGGCAGTCGCTAAATTTGTCCGGAGTCACTTGCGGAAACAAATAGAAAACGTCATAAAGAATGCCTCCGTGGCGATCGCAACAAGTCTCCACCCATAAAGACTCGGGGCACTTTCCCAAATCTCAACGTCCAGTCGCGACGACGCGTTTGTCGAGGGCAACTAGGATGCCACCGCCTATTTTCCCCTCTCCAGACCTTTCACGATCGCGACGATGTTCATCAAAATTTGGAGGAATGCCATTAGAAGACGCGATGCCTGAACAGAGCCAGACAATAGAAAAGTGTGATAGGCTAGAATTTGAAAATAAATTATCGGCCTTTGTTCCAAGCCTGGAACATTCTGATAATAAACACAGTCATGTCTCATTAATCCGCTAATACAGATACCCCGCTATGTAGACAACATGTTTGGGGACCAACCTGACAAATACAGGCATTCTTGCCTAGCTATTATGGACAACTCACATTATGGATGCGTTAAGGGGCGAACAAAGGTGTCCATATTAACGAGACATCACTGCACCTAGACTACTGAATGCTTCCTAAGGTTATGACCACTTCGAAGAACAACCGCAACAACAACAACAACGACGACCACAACCCCAACAAGGACAATATTAATAATAATAATATTAATAATAACCGTCATTATCATCGTCACCATCATCATCATCACCTTATCTCGAATGGACGCAGGTCCGGGCTGTCCTCGGCGCGGTGTGCCTGTGGCCATGCCACACCCGTCTTCGTCCAGGAGAAAGACGGCGGCAGGTGTGTCCGAGGTGCGCAGAAAGCCCGCGGAAATGCAGTCTCTGCTGTGATTCTGAGTAACGCTGTTAAACGGAGTATAAAACAAATTTCATAATTTCGCTAAAAACAGCTGACTGAAAACGGAACAAAAAAAAAACTCGACTCGCCTTGTTTATTGATTTTTTTTTTCGTCACTGGCAGCGATAAAGGATGGTTCACACGGAAACACAGTGAGGGCGCAGGCGAGCGGGTGTAAGTTTCCCGTTTTGTTAAAACACCTGAGACTGAGTGAGACATCTCGAGAACAACCAAGATATAAGAGACAGGGAAAGAAGTCAATCAGACGACCTCTGACTGACTTTGGTTGTTTCGAGACTTCTCACTCAGTCTGAGGTGTTTTAGCAATACGGTTCGCACACTTGCGTTTGCTTACGATCGAGTACTTGTGATCTCTTACGACGAGAGAACGTAGTGGCATGCTGGCGCCATCGTAAGGTGGCCCTGGAACTACATCTTACAAGAGCGCAGGTTTTACAGTCTTTGCGAGGTCAAGTGTACGTACTGTCGTGACCGGTTATAACCGAAGTCGGTTATAACGACATAGCGGCTACAGCGAAGCGATCACGATTTCACATTCCCCTTTGCACTTTGTTATAACCGAAGTCGGTTATAACGAAATAGCGGCTACAGCGAAGCGATCACCATTTCCCATTCCCTTTTGCACTTCGTTATAACCGAAGTCGGGTATAACGACATAGCGGCTACAGCGAAGCGATCACGATTTCACATTCCCCTTTGCACTTTGTTATAACCGAAGTCGGTTATAACGAAATAGCGGCTACAGCGAAGCGATCACCATTTCCCATTCCCTTTTGCACTTCGTTATAACCAAAGTCGGTTATAACGACATAGCGGCTACAGCGAAGCGATCACGATTTCACATTCCTCTTTGCACTTCGTTATAACCGTATTCGGTTATAACGAAATAGCGGCTACAGCGAAGCGATCACCATTTCCCATTCCCTTTTGCACTTCGTTATAACCGAAGTCGGTTATAACGACATAGCGGCTACAGCGAAGCGATCACGATTTCACATTCCTCTTTGCACTTCGTTATAACCGAATTCGGTTATAACGAAATAGCGGATATAGCGAAGTGACTTCAGATTCCCGTTGACTTTGTTATAACCGGTCTCGACACCACTACCTTTGAGCAACGGTCCTTTACTTGGAGGTAGGAAGCTTCTGGAGGCGACACGACGCCACCAGAGGTGAAGCCGAGGGAGACTTCTGATTTGGAGGGACGCGTTCCCAACGATGATCAAACCCAAAAGACGCTATTGGACGGAAAGCAGAGTTATTTTGGCGCCAACGGCTCTTTTAGTCACCCCGTTTCCACCGATCGTGACCTTTAGTTCCGGCTTCACTTGGGACTTTTTTGTATGTCTGGCTTGAGTCGGTATGTCGCCTCATTTTCGTGCTACCTCCATGCCGCTTTAAAACATTGTCAATATATTTTTAAGATAAAAAAGACCGGAATAATGCGCAACGAAATGTTTTAGAAATACGGAACTGCCAAGCGTTAAACAACTACCCCATAGATGTCTCCAGTGCGTCCTCTCGTCTTGAGCGCCTTCATACAAACACGCGTTTTTGCTTATACATCTGAGCCATTTTCCGCGCCATCGTTTTTTTTATATTTTTTTATGTCTTTTGAAGTGTGCGCAAACCGGTGCCACTCAGCTCGAGCGCGTAGCCTTGGCCAATGCTTAGACGCCATTTTACCGCACAAGTCGCGCACTGCGTGCGCCAGCGCGCTGGCCCACTCGATGCAACAAAGTATGCCCGGGTGTAGGCACAGCCGATATTAACACCAATTTGATATAAATGACTTGGACCCTTGGATTAAGTGGGAATTTTCCCTAAAAGCCGATTGGGAACTCTACTTAGAAAAAACTGGGCCACACCAAGAAACAGCCCAGGAAAGACCGACAGGGAGAAAGGACCCTCAAGAGCCCGACATCAGCCCGACATCAGCCAAACTCCGCGAATGGGCACAAAAGGGCGACACCAGTGGGTCGACGATGGGCGAAGGGCAACAAGTACTCCCAACAACCACCACCGTAGTGATTTTTGCTTTTCCCCTTCTCCCAAGGAGAAGCCCCAATGAAGGGGTCTCCCCCTCAGTATAGGGGGATCACTCTGAGACAAACAGACTTGTAGGCACCCTACTCTCGTCGTAAGAGATCACAAGAGATTGTTGCGGGACTCAGGATTATCATCATCATCATACCGCCGCTAGGCAACCCTGGCCTCAAGAACTGCCGGAACCCCTGAGGAACCCCTCGAGGACAAAAGACATTCTAATAGACAATGTAGTAAAATACAAATATCTGGGAGTCTGGCTCAATGAGGGAAGGAAATATCTAGAGAAACACGAGGAGAATATAATTAGAAAAGGGAAAAGAATTTCACCTAATATCAAGCTCAACGCACTATGAAACTATAATAAATATAAAGTGATCAGAGGTATATGGAAAGGGGTGAGGGTACCAGGACTGTCTTTTGGCAATGAGGTACTGTGCATAAAATCAGAGGTTCAATCCAGATTAGAAATTCGGCAAAGAAACGTATGCAGATTTGCACTGGGAGCACATGAAAAGACACTAAATGAGGGTTCGTACAGGGGGACATGGGCTGTCAATGGGCTGGACATGGGCAATTAGTAAGTTGAAATTTGAACAAAGGTTAACCGAAATGGATTATATGCGGTGTGCGCAGAAGGTATTCAAGTATTTTCAGATGAAAAGTTTAAACACAAAATGGACAAACCGAACCCGAAAGCTTACATTTAAATACCTACACACTAGTGATGGGGCTGAGCAGACTGCTTCAGTGGTAAAGAGAATAAAAGAGGCAGAAAGAAAAATGTGGGAGGTAAGAATGCAGAAGAAATCAGTTCTAACAATGTACAGGTCACAAAAACAGGACATAAGAAAGGAAAATGTGTTTGACAATTCACTGGGAAGTTCTTTGCTGTTCGAGGCGAGAACGGGAGTTTTGAGGACGAGGACGTATAGGCTAAATTTCAGGAGACAGACACATTATGTGTTGCCTGCCATAATAAGAGCGAGACACTACAGCACTTTGTTTCAAAGCGCACAGAGCTTCGCCCTGCCCTCCCTGAAGGGGTAATAGATTCGGCCGGGGCCCTGGCTTTTGCTGGCGACGATGGGAAGGACGGAAGAGAAAAGGATTATAGTCAAAAAGAGGTGATTAGAAGATTGGTGAAAATTATCTAGAGAAAATTGAATGGTGCACAACTAACTAGCACAGTTGGGAAAAAGCGGGAGAGAGGAAAATTGTGAATCTCTCCCACGTGGCTCTGACCCAAAGTTTCAACCCTGTCCCCAGTGGGTCCGGTGCTGGGCTAACGCCAACAAGGTTTGACCAGGAAAAATTGGCGACTCGTAATGTTTTTCGTTTTTTTGTCTGAAACCTCAATGGTCGTCCTAGTGATATCCCACATGACCTGGTGATAGTTAGAAGGGAGAAAATTGACTTAGAAGGGCAGAAGGAGCTATATGCATGTATTTTTAGACTTAAGCTAGGTGACGCAAGCTGCCGCCCGATACTAAGGGTATCGCCATTAACATCCATCCATCCACAGCCAAGGCCATATACGAGTCGTGTGCGGGCGACACCGAGTGCAACATCGGGAATCCTAACATGCGGTGCGTCGACTTCCTCTGCTACTGCCCGCTGCCCTTCGTGCTGACGGACGCGCAGCACTGTCTCCCGCGTGAGTACGACGCACTGGATATCTAAGTTCTTTTTCACTGCTTATTCGATACAAAGGTGCTTAGTATGTGTGCGCGTATGTCTTAGAATATAGTTCGTCCCACCATAGTGACAAAGATTGTGAGAACTTGAGATTGGGCGAGTTGGTTGTTCATGTTTGTCGACCTTTAGCGCACTCAAAAAAGTGTCATTCAAGCATTCACACACCCAAAGAACACTCCTTTCACACAGCGCTCTGTGTGAAAGAGCGCTGTGTGAAAGGAGTGTTCTTTGGGTGTGTGAATGCTTGAATGACAGTTTTTTGAGTGCGCTAAACGTCGACAGACAAAGATTGCTTTCTGTAAGGTCTATATGGTCGTTTCCTGTTCACGCCACGCCCACTGAAAAGCACGGCAAACAAGTCGAGGTACTCAGCTGATCTAGCCACACCGTGGTCTCTTTCACAATAAAGACCCTCTGCTATGCTCACCGTCACCATGGTAGCGAAGCATGTCCTTCATAGACGCACACGTGAACGCGGACGCTGAAGCCACCAAGCGGATGCCAAATTACGAACATTGTCTGCAAAAGTGAACGCAGCAACGCTAGTCAAAGCAGGACACGCCGGTGCGGGGGTGACGCTGAGAGCTGAAGTGGTCGCCTGCTGAACCCTTGGTGGTTTGACGAGGCTCGTTGCAAGCTTTGTCCCGAAATTATAATACATTTTCCCCTACTGAAGCTGAGTACAAAGGGTGACCGCACGTAGCGCGGTCTGTTTGGAAGCCTAGCTTCAAACACCCAGAAGAATCACCCAGTCCGGTACTCATTCGTCGGTTAGCAGACGGCAGATCCAATGTCGTCGACTCTTCCTGTCTTCAGACGCTGAGTTCGAGTGTGGGCCTATCCAGAACACGTTTTGTTGTGATGGTGATGGGGACCATAGCAGACAGACTTCATCGTGCCGTAAGAGATAGCAGTGTGGAGAGATCAGGTGAGTGTTTGAGCTCATTTGCCGTGCTTTTCAATGGGCGGCACGTGAAAGTAGGGTTCGAAATAAGGACTAAGTGCAGATAGACTTTTTCCAGAGCCTAATATTTCAACACGTCTTGCACAAGAAACATGTTTTCGTGCAAGACCTGTGAAAATAGGTCTTAAGACAGAAAAACAGGACATAAGTAAAACGCTAGCGGGCGAAGAAAGAGAGGATAAAGGTCCGTTTACACACTTCCGTTTGACTCCGACCGACTGAGACAATAGTAGTTTTTAAGCCTTTTGTGACAGATTACGTCTTTCTGCAATGCTGCGCATTAAGTCGTAAGCAATCCTCAGAGGATTAATAGCCGGTCTTGTCCCAGTCGGTCAGAATTAAGCGTAAGCGTGTTAGCACGCCTTAAAGCGTGCAGATCAATTCTGAACAGATTCTATGACATCGATAAGAGTATCTTTCAGCCGGGTCCCATATGGCGGATACCGCACTAGCAATATTGCCCCGGATGGAGACGGGTCGACCAGCGTAAAACCTGAAAACAAAGGTTTAATCGGCGAACTTGTGCCAGAAACAAATGAGAATGAGCGTCGGAAAAGCAGAAGTGGGCGTCGCGGCGTAGACGTGACAGGTTGCTTGAACGAGACACCGAGAGAGAATGAGCCGTAAAGCCACTCCCGGCTCCCTACCCACTAAGCTCGGTATCTCGAATATTCGACCCAGAATGTTCGGGTGTGAGCTAGGGCGAGACTGACTCAACAAGGTCATGTTGGCCTCCTCATCTTTCACACTCGGAGTAAAAGCCGGTTCACACATGCAGCGGAGAGCTAAGTTAGCGCTCATGTGGCGCTTCCTAGCGCGTGATGTAGCGCTTGGTTAGCGCTTCAGTAGCGCTCTGTTAAGGCCGGTTCAGACACTTGCGTTTGAGTGCGTTTGACTGCATTGCGTCGAGAATTGAAAGCGAGTCACCAGCACATCTGTGCTTCGTATAAAGTGTGGAATCCAATTCAAGGAATCCTCTTGGCACGCGATATAAGCAGCAGGGATGTCCTGGTTTCTCGTTGCCGCAACGCAGTCAAACGCAGTCAAACGCAACTGTCTGAACCAGGCTTTAGCGCTTCAGAAGCGCTTTGTTAGCGCTCTGTTAGCGCTACTGAAGCGCTCTGTTAGCGCTGTCATGCACGCTCCTTGTGCCGTGCTTGCTGCTGCGGAACGACGCGTGCACGGCGATTCCTTTGTTGTTGTTTTTCCTTTGGCATTGAAAGAAGAGGAAGTAAAACAGCCGCTCTCCATGCAAAGGGTCAGGCAGGCGACCCAGAGTCATGGCCCTTGAGCGACTAATTGATTGGGTACGACCTCATCGCATTCTATTCGATATGCGTGACCTTGATTTCAGAGACACGCAGTTAAAAATAACCGCCTTCGAAAGAGCTCTGTGTCTCGGTCCCTCAGCCTATGGAACACGATTCACCAGGTACCCGTCGGTATCTCGGTGGCGAAAGATTTCGCGCACCCAGAGCCCTCTTCTGGGCGTTAAGCCGCCCACACATATATGCACTAATCACGTATGTAAGAGCATTGGTCGCATTTCTATTTCAGCATCCCAAATGTCCGCCATGGTGCTGCTGATTCACACCCAAGCACAGGAACCGGAACCGCAGTGCACGCGCTAATCCGCAGCACCGCGGTACAAACAGTGCTACTAAAGTGCTAACACAGCGCTGCTGAAGCGCTAACAAGGCGCTACTGGAGCGCTAACAAGGCGCTACTGGAGCGCTAACAAGGCGCTACTGGAGCGCTAACAAAGCGCTACAGAAGCACTAATCGCGCTGTGTTAGAACTAAGTCACGCGCCAGGAAGCGCCACATGAGCGCTCCTTGGAGCGCTCACGTAGCGCTAACTTAGCGCTAGGCTGTATGTGTGAACAGGCCCTTAGAGTAAACTTCAATCTTCTAGAAGTAAGGAGAAGCGCTCCTTCTGAGTCATGAACGCGAAAATATTACCTACGAAGCGAGAGTTCCAAAGATGGCACCTTTGCAGTGCGTGTAGTATCGAACTACTAGTTGAAGCTGGGATGAATCTTATTACGCAGTCGTAATGAAATCAGTTTCGGCTCTTTGGATTGGTAAGATATTGGCGAGCGCTTCTGCTGAGTGAAGTTTTCGCAGCCCAAAACTTAAAGGCCGACGAGCAGAAAAAGAGGAGGAAACTCTCCCTCAATTTCTCATTTCCACTCGAAAAAAAGAGACTCTCCTTCTTTCTGCGGGAGGTAGCTCAAAGACCCGCTCCTATGGGCAGAGGGGGAGAGAAGAGAGAATGGGGAGAAGGAGACTGGATGGGAACCGACTTTCTTCCTGGCAAAAGACGATTCTGTAGGTCGGCCATTGAATTACGCAATCTTAAGGTCTCTGAACATGCCAAATGAGCACTAGCGCTTGGGATAATGTGTCAAAGCTTCAGAACTCAATGTGTCCAACTTCAGAAATAACGCGATCATTAAGAAAAAAAAATAGACTGAGAAAGTGCGGACCCCCGGGCCATCTTAAGACGCTACGAGTCTTTGCGTATTCTAGGGCTTTGCTGGCTGGCATCTTCTCGTAAAAAAATCTCCGAAGTCTACTTTTTTTTTTCGTCAAATAACGCCATTATTTCTAAAACGCGCACAGCTTATTCCGACCGTCTACGCTATTGGAGAGGAGATCCAACCATCGCTGCCCTAGCGGCTAAGTTCAGAACTAAACACATGCGAACAACGACGACATGAAGTTGTTTGTGTTTCTGACGGATCGCTCGGCTGACGTACTCAAACGCTTCGTCATCTTTCGGCTTCTGCTCGTGCTCAATACGTAAGGCATCAAAGGAAGTCCCAGCTAATCCTGGACTCAACGTTCTTGTGCAGTGTGTGTCCCGCGCTCGATTCAGGAAGATGACGTAAAACATTCCACTTCACAGGCCTTCAATTTGGTCAAGGTGTAAGATGTATATGTAGGTGAGGACACCGCGCACGTCGCAGCTTCCCGATAAAGTCCCCTCCTCACCTTGGTCGCGAGCGGCGGCGTCAGGTGACTCTTCGGCACGCGACTAGTGGTGGCCTGTCGCGGGCCCGGTTTCCCATGCATCCCCACGGGAGACATGCTTGAGAGTCGCAGACTATAGCTTAGTTTGGGGAGCACTGACGTAAGTACGCGTTCGTAACTTCCTCACTGCTTGGTATTGCAAACGCGGTCATAATTCACGTGACCCTGATCGAGCAGTTAGAAACTCTATACCACTCTGGAGCATACACTGGCACGCTGGTGCCATCTATGGGGTGGCCCTGGAGCTGAATTTCAATACAGCGAATGTTTTGCGGTATTTGCGAGATAAAATGTACGTACCATTTAGGACAACTGGTCGTTTATAACATTGAGATATGGTTCGAGACATATGGCAATGTTATAAACATTGCCTTATGGTTCGAGACACGCGGACATGACGAGTGTTCCACGGCGACCCGATAGATGGCGCCAGTTTGTTCTCTCATTGTAAGAAATTTTAAGAGGTTTTGAGATACGCAGTCGTAAGCAGCCGTTGTAAGCGTGCGAACGAGCCTTTAGAGTAAACGTTTTGCTTCTGTTTATCAGCACAAGTGCAGCCTGAGGTGCTGGGACCCTCGGGTGTGGTGCCCGCTCTACTCATCCTGTTTCTGCTCCTGGCGTTCGGCGGAGTCTACGTCTATCACTGGTGAGAGAATACTAATAATATTAATAATAATAATCATAAAATCTAATAATAATATTAATAATGACATTAATCATAACTATTGCTTTTCAATCAATATTCCAAATGCAGCCAGTTGAGTGTCGGGTCTGGTCAAAAGCAGCAGAGGTTTGTGGGACCAAACCCAGCATTTGATGTATAGCGGACCGGATATTCGCACAGAATCACACTACGTACACAGAGTGAAACACAAAAACACAAACAGAATTTGGTGTTTCATCAGAGTACAGGTGGATAGTCAGAGTTGGTGTTTTAGTCAAGTTTGTATGTTGCTTGAAGATGAGTCATGATTAAAAAAACACTGACTAGCACACTCACACACACACGATCACACAAAAAAGGTAAAAAAACGATATATCGGACGGAGACACCTATATGTTTCTTGCTGATTCAGGCAAATTCACTCTGAGGGTGTTCACATAAAAAACAAAATGCAGAGGATCAGAGAAAGTGAGATTTTACACAATTAATTCACTTGTCACTTTGTAAGAGTTGAAAAGCAGCAACATTCACTATCTATACACGTCGGAGAACGAGCTCCTCGAAGATTCCTGTAGCGCGTTGTGCGGAGTAAGGACAAGCAAATTATCTGGGACTTCATTAAAGATTTTTGGGACATGAAATGAACAAATACTTTCGCCGTAATGAGTTCTCACCCGCGGAGTCTGAAAACGCGGAGCGGATCTCAGATCACAAAGTGGACTTGACGATACCTTGAACTCAGTTCCTCAGAAGTGTCGCCAGATAACAGTTTGGAGAAATAATGAGTAAAAACAGGGTAACACGAGCGAGGCAAACAAAATGTCAACGGATAGAAAGTTTTTTATATGCGACACTTTTCAAAATTCCTTTTAAAAAACTGTCGATTCTTGAATGTCAGAACTGAGGACAGTTACAAAATACAGTGATTCCATATCTGAGTATACTGTAGACTAACCCGTGCGTAATGCTCTTTCTAAGTGACAAGGGTATAAATCCTTTTATATGGTAAAGCAAACAAACGACAGTTTTCAGTCGTTGGCATACATAAGGCATACAAAGTGCACGCCTAGGTACTTTACTGAGACAACATCTTGTCACGCGCGTCGCCGAGCGAGCGCGTGCGTGGCCGAGTGGTTACCATGCTTGGCTGTTGCGCGGAGGCTCCAGGTTCGATTTTAGACAGCGGACTCTTCCTTTGGGTATTCTTTCAACTTGGCGTTCTCGTAAGTTCGAGAACCTTGTCGTCTGATCGAGTTACGACTGTTTTACGCGCCGAACGTTGTACGCCGAATGTTCCAGAAACCCACGCGGGTACAAAAAGTGCTCCACGTGTCGAGCCCAAGTCACTCATTCGCCTGCGCTCGATCCTCCCGGTACGCCGCCACCGACGCCTGCGACGCTAGCCTTCTACTTTGTTTCGGGCACAAGTTCGCCCCATTAAGCCTGAACTCTATGGGACGAATATGCTGCGAAAAATCCACGAATTTTGCCCGGCGGCTTTTGCTCTGCGCGTGGAATAACCACAGTGGCTGCTACGTCGCGCGCAAAGCGAGCGTGCCGTCGGGCGGCGTTCGCCAGTTATTCGTCGCATAATTCGCTCCATGAAGTTCAGCCTTTAAACGTTTCGTATCCTTCAGCTATCCGTCACCTCAAGAATTGTCCCACGTGACAATTGATGAGACGACGGATCAACAGGCTTACAATTATCACGTGAGCAACTGGGGTAATATCGAAACGGTGGAGAAGTCAAACCTACATTTTTCAATGGATTGTGAAAGCATATCAGTTTGGTTTTGGAAGCATTCACACGAAGCTTATTTGCTAAGAACCAGTTCATCATTTTAGTTACATCTGCCTGGAGAATTTATATTGCACGCAGGTATAATAGATGCCGTGAAAATATAAGATAGTCCTCCGCGTATTGCAATATATTCGAAGTAGTCATTACTGTTGCAATATTTTTTACAAATATGTTAAAAATAGTGGGGACAAAACGGAGCCCTGTGGATTATAATGCAATTAAATGCAAAGGTGCAAGCGAGCTGGACAGTAATGATGAAAATAATCCCTGGAAAACGGGAACAAGAAGGACAAAAGACAAACACAAATCTCCAAAACCAGCTGTGGAACTCCGGAAATTAATGATGCATGAGAACTGCGGATGTCATCTATTGATACAACTTGGGCGCGATTCGTGAGAATTTTTTTTAGTAATATTCAGCACACAAGACCATGCTTGGTCTGGGACCAGTTTATTATGACAACTGCAACTCAGCTGCTGACATGAAATACCAAAACGCGCTCCCGGTTGGGGTTGACCTTTATATATACGATGCACAGTATTGTCGTTCCACATCCGGCCAGCTGTAGCCCCCTGCTGGGCTACATATGCAATAAGTAACGCCTGAAACGGAAGAAGAATGGGGTTAGCCACCTATCGGTGGCTAACCCCATTCTCCTCCACAAAACCTTCAAACTCATGTGACCTGAACTGCGGGCCATTATCTGTTACTACCACCCTGGGAAGGCCGCACGCCGCGAATACACTTCTTATCGCTTCCCCTGTGGCAGTCGCCGTTGTGGTGTTCATGAGCTTTACCTCCAGCCACTTAGAGTAGGTGTCTACCATCAGCAGCACTGCCTTCCCCTCGACTTCTGCAAACTCTAGGTAAACCTTCTCCCAGGGGTTTCCCGCTATTGGCCACGGTTGAAGTGGAATGGGCTGCGCTGACCTTCGCACACTTCGGCACACCTCACAACGCTTCACTATTTCCTCTAAGTCTACGTCAAGCTGGGGCCATCAAATCCAACTTCGAGCCAACATCTTGATTTTCCTAATACCGGGATGCCCTTCGTGCATGAGTGAAGAATTCCACAACAAACATCCGTGCTCGATAGCAAGCTCACGACGACGGCTGAAATACGGCCGTTACTCGGATTCGTTGGGCCAGCCTCGCCATGTCATGTCCCTTACTGCGTTTAGAAATTCATCCTTTTCTGTTGCTTCAGCCACCCCCCGTGCGGTGAACGAATCTTCAGTTATGGGCGATAAAAAAAATTATTTGACCGGCCGTCATTTCCAATGGAAGTCGAGATAAGGCATCTGCATGTCCCAAACTCCGTCCCTTCTGTACCTGATAGTATACTGATATGAATCCAACATATTTTTCCACCGATGCACCCTGGCTATTGCCACTTGACTGGAATGTCCTTTGGATATGAGAGCTGCGTCAAGGGCTGATGGTCAGTTACTATTTCAAACTCGCGGCCGAACAAGTACTTGTGGAACTTTTTTTATGCCGAAGACAATGGCCAGTGCTTCGCGCTCCACCTGCGCATAGTTCTTCTCGGCTACCGTGAGCGTGCGTGACGCGGAATTTATATAGGCCACTCTTCTTGGTTGTCGGCGTGTGCGAGTACCGCCCCCAGTCCGTACATGCTGACGCATCACACGTAAGGCGCAGGCGCTTACCGCTATCATAGAGCGCTAGGACTGACTCGTCACTTAAAAGCACCCCGCAGGGGGCACCTGTGAAAGCAGGTGTTTGGAGAGTGGCGTCTCCACGGACCCCGAGCCCCGCAGGGGGCGCCTGCACTTTAGGTGCTAGGTGCTTGGTGAGTAGCGTCACCACGGAACCCAGCCACGTGGGCCACCGTACCCGCACGCAGGGGGCGCCTACTTTAGTAGGTGCTTGGTGAGTGGCGTCACTACGAACCCCGAGCCATGTGGGTTCGCCCACCCACGTCTGGCTGCGCGTGGCGTACCCGTGTCCGGGGAAAAGGGGACCCTGGGGGTTGAGCTGAGCCCGGGGTATGTTTGGACCCTTCGGGGCCCCCCGGGCGAAGCAATACACCGCTTCGACCCCTGCTTCTCGTAGACGGGTGTCCTGGCTTGGCCCGACCAGGTTGATTCAGTCAGTCGCCTCTTCTACGCGCTTCTTCCTTCTTTCACTTTTCCTCCCACCCCTTTCTCTTTTCTTCTACACTCTCTTCCTTCCTTTTTCACCTTCTTAGGCGGCAAGGGCTAACCTTGAGTGGAAACAGGTCCTGTCCCTGCATCCACACTCGGTTATAGTGCCCGGGCAGCACTGGTAGAGTAATTGTGTCAGCCAAGCCTTTCTTGCTATGGCACATTACCTACCCCCTTGTTGGGCTCCGTGGTGGGCGGTGCACCCGGGCACTGAATCTCCTCCCATGTCTCATGGGTTCCAAAGCAAAACCTCCCTCTGATCGGGCCCTGAAGAGGGTCCGCACCGAAGTCCCTCTGAAAAACACGACCTCATCTCCCCCTACACTCCCCAAATTTTTGGTTATTCACTCTGAAGATGATACACCACTCTCCAAGATGTCCCCCTTTCTTGTTGCGAAAGCGCTAGAAAGCGTGGTCGGAAAGAACTTCAAAGCCAAAAAGATGCGCTCAGGTGACCTTCTCGTAGAAATTGAATCCAGACAGCAGAGTACTGCACTCCTTTCTTTGAATTCTGTGTCTGATCACAAAGTGACTGTTTCACGCCATCGTACACTCAATACTATTCAGGGCGTTATCTACGAAGATGACCTGATTGAGGCCTCTGACACTGAGATACTTAAAGGGCTCTCTGACCAAGGAGTTGTAGCTGCGAGGCGCATCTCCATGCGTCGGGACGGTCAAGAGCGGAAAACGAAACACATAGTTCTAGCTTTTGATTCCGCCACACTCCCCGATGCTGTTAGGGCTGGCTATCTTCACTGCAGGGTTAGGCCCTATGTGCCTAATCCTCGAAGATGTTTCAAATGCCAGAGGTTTGGCCATGGCTCCCAGCATTGCCGTGGAAAAGCCACGTGTGCGAAATGTGCCAAATCTGACCACCCCGCAGAGTCCTGTACCAACGACCCACACTGTGTAAACTGCGGCGATCCCCACCCTGCATGCTCTCGATCCTGCAGAACGTGGAAGGAAGAAAACGAAACTGCTTACTCTTAAAGTCAAAGAAAATCTCTCCTACC